CTTGTACGTCTAGAAAAAAAATAGGTTTGGATCATCCATATTTCACATCTTTTAATAAGTGTTTTATTTAAGCCAAAAAATTAACATGTTAATTAATATATAATTCTGCTAACACATCATACTAATATTTATTTGATTTTAGAATACATATTTATTCATTGATATAAGAAAAAATAAAAATTTTATTAATTATTGTTCACCATATAATACTCAATTATTATTTTATTATAAAATTTACAGTCATATAATGTAATTATTATTATTATTTATATAAGTTATAGCAGTAGTCTTATTTATGTAATGAAATTCAAAATAAAATTTTGAGCATAAATGTTTACAAAATACACACACATGTTTTTTTAGAATTTTCTCGTAATAATTCTTTTTTTAAAAAAAAAATGATTTAGCAATTACCAAAAAACAAATCCCTTACATAATCAAGAGATTTTTTCTAATTTTCATCCTAAGGCTTTATAGTTTATTTAACATACTATGCAATAGAAAAATATTTTACAATAACTTCATTTTTGAAACATAACAAAAAAAAGTGATAAAAACACTATCATAGTTGACAATAATATACAAATAAATAACATGTCAAAATTTTAAAGAATAACTATAATTTTATTATCTAACCATCAATAAAATCATTTAATGATGTGATTATCTTTTAAGTTTTAAATAATAAATAATATTAATTTTTTTAAAAAAATATTATTGTTATATAATTAAATAAAGGTTAAAAAATATTACTCGACAAATATTAATTATAATGGATATCAGTAAAATCATTGCATAAATTATTTAAGGAAAAAATCTTGAAGATCATATTTGGATAGTAAATGTAATTATGCAACCATTTAATGCATATAGTAAAAAATTTCCAAATAAAGTATGCATTAAATGTGTGTTGACTTTTCTTACTACTGTTTTTGGTAAATAGGTTGGCTTTTAATATATATATTTTAATATATATATATAGATTCAATCTTAAAACAAAATACTAATAATTCTTCATTCATTATCCATTAATATTTATATTAACTTTATTTGAACTGACACTGGGTTCCCGTGTCTTCTCGATTGGGCGATGGATTTCATGAGTAATTTGATTTCCTTTTTAGGGCTATATAGTAATGCTCAATTATCCACGCGCACATGTTAATATGTCAATCGTTTATGTGGCATTCACACATTGATGATGTTAATATATTAAAAAAATATACGTCACCAATATATGCATGTCATATAAACGGTGTGCATATTAATATGTGCCTACTGTGAGTAGATGAACATTATCCATATAAAGTTTATTTAATATTTGACTAACTGATGAGTTGATTGAAGTGCATATTTGATGACTTTTGGTATATGGTTAATGCTTCGTTTTGATGATAAATAACCTCACAGTGCATAATTGAAAAGTTTGACATGTTGCACCCGGTAGATTCGATCCTATCCCATGGGGTAGTGTCCTCATAAGATTTTAGCCACACAATCACACATAATCACATACACACCCACATGGGTGTGTGTGAAACATGTGGCTAAAAACCCCATGGGGTAGCATCGAATTTTTCCGTTGCACCCATGGCAAAATTCAATAATTTACACAATCACATTAACTTTAAAATCAACAATTCATACAATAACCCATCTTTCATTATGTTCAAAAAATTAAAATATATGTCAAAATTAATTAATACATTAACCCATCTTATCCCTTCAAAAGTTTTCTGTTGAACATATTAGAATTAGAGTGAATTAATTAATACATCCCCTCTTTGTTGAATGGATAAAGAAAGTAGCCAAATCTTTTTGATTAGGCACAATTTATTTGACCACCCACTGAATACTAAAATCTGGTTT